AAAAGGGATCTTCCTCAGCCATGGCTGGCACTCCGGAAGGAGTGCTGGGTGCCGGGCCCTGAGACAGGGGGCTTCTCTCCTGAGCTCCAGCTCCCAGTGCAGGCACCACTGGGTCCCGTTGCGGCTACTGAGGGAAAAGTTACTGGGGAACAGGATAGTCCCCCGATCTCAAAGGATCACCACCACAGAGATAATTTATTCATTGCAAAAGGGAAAACGTACCTTTACAAGGGAGAGATCCAGAGACCTCACCCCTCCACCAAGTAATCGACCTTATTATTACTGATAGCAGGACTGCCCGAGGCCACGAGCTTCCTGGTACGTGGCAGTATGAAGCACACAGCACTGCCTACGGGGTGTTCTTGCTGTAAAAAAGGTTACCCGAGTCTAACACCTCCTCCAGATCAAACTCGGGGAACACAGGGGCCTGTGAAACAGCTCACACACCACAAGGAAACACCCCAGACAACTCCACGACACGGGATGCGGCCCGTGACAACTGGCCAGGACTCTTCAAAAAGGCAATGTCATTAAAAAAAAAAAAAAAAAAGTGTGTGCAAGTGAATGTAGGGGGAGATTGTTCTATAGTAAAAGTGACTTCAAAACACAACTAGTGCAACGTGTAGCCCTTGACTAACTCACAGTTTATCTAAAAACCCCAGCTCTGAGAGACTTGGGACATGTGGGCAAGTGTGACTATGGACTGGCTCTTAGGTGACATAGTGGAGGTATACATTTTCTTAGGCATGATCGTGAGACTGTGATTATGTAGAAGACTGTCCTCCTTCTCAGGAGATTCAGCTGGAAGTTTTTAGGGGTGAAGTGTGATCCTGGCTGCAACATATCTTTAAATGGCTTGGCCAAAAAAAAGAAAGAAACAGAAAAGGTATAAAAAGATAAAGCAAACATGGCAAAATACGAACAATTTCTGAATCTAGGTGGAGGGCTGATATTGTATTATCACTGGATTATTTCTCATCTTTCCTGGATGTTTGACATTTTGTAAGGTAAAGACTGGGATACAGTGGGGAGAGGGGACCCTAGGAAGGGTGGCCGCGCAGGTCTGTGCATACACAACACATAGGGAGGCCGGTTCACCATGTGAGAAAACCAGCGACTCTTGTATGAGGTTGAGATTTCAAAGCTAGGCATACCGGTGTGTGATGTTCCTCTGGGTCTCAGGAAAACTCATTTTTCAACACCAGCGATGTTTTTGTAAAACACCGACCTGTCCCAGCTGGCTAGTCCCCACATCTGTAACACGAAAATAGGCAGGTAGGTTTATCCAAGCTCTCAAACTGCTTGTTGTGTTAAAAACGGATTCTGTCTATACTTCAGCCAGAACTTTGTGCATGGTGAAGGAGGCTTGTGTTTGCTGTGCATCACACGTCCTGAGAGTCAACACTCCCAAATGCCAACACACACACTGGCTGAACCCCAACCTCTGGCTGACAGGGGGCCACAGCCCTGCAGTGGAACAGTGTGCCGGGCTCTAGGCTGGCTCAGCTTTGTTCTGAGCAACTTCATGGAGTCACAGACTAGAGATAAAGCCACCAGAACAAGAGGAACAGTTCAGCAGGCAGGTCGACAAGCCCCCTTGTTGCATATCTTTCTACTCAGACACCAGTGCTTCTCAGTGACATCCCAGAGAACCCAGACTGGGAAGTCCCTTTACAAGCTTGCTTCTGAGTGTGTTCAGCTCTCCTCTCATACAGAGGGTAGCTTAGGTGGAGCCTCTGGAAAGCTCACCACTTACGGAAGTGTGAGACATGCTAACATGTCTTAGCTGACACTGAGACATGCCTGTGGGTGCTGGCTGGTAAGAAGTCTGTGTGTTTATGCAGCTTGAAGAAAGGCGACATACATCACCTGGCATTCTTAACTCTCAACCGTATGACCATCTGAAAACCCCCATACAGAGCCAAGCACCAGGATGAGAAATTCTTGCGAGAATCAAAATCCTCCCCCCTCCCCCCACACACACTCATACACCTATATGTGAAGTCTTCCTCCAGGACAAAACTCTCTAGGTAAAAAACACAACCACCTGTAAATTAAGAAAAAAGTGATTTTTCTGGGTAGAAAAAGAAACATAAAGACAGCAGTCTGAAGATTCACTGAATTCAGGGATGTGAAGTGATGAAAAATGCCTCAGACTGTCTGGCAGAGAAGGGGGTACAGCCAATGAACAGAGCTAGTCTGACAGGAAAATGGAACAGTAGCTGCCCGCAGAACTGGGGAGCTGTCGGAAAAGAGAGCCAATGAGCCCATGGCCCAGGGGGACAAAAGCACCCGGGAGGGAACAAACTGTGACCCCAAAGAGGTTAACTTAAATTGCTCAGGAGAGACGACTGCTATTTAAAATATGCTCAACAAAAAAAACAGTGGAACTGATGAAGGACGGAGTGGCCTCATCTTAACACACCGAGACCTCCCTCAAGGCAGCAAGGTGGACACCGGTCACGGGAGCCTGCCCTCTGGCCGGCAGCTCTACCTGACTGGGAAACCGACACTGTGTCTGGGAAGACAAAGCCTGGGCAAACCAACTGCTCACAGATGCACTTCCTTGAGAGCACCTCCACCCACTGCCCTCGTGACCAGCAAAGTCACTGCAAAACATGATGCAGCCCCTGAAAGATTCCCTCCTCATCCCAGCAGTGCCAAAGGGGAAAGCCCCAGTTCTCAGAACAGAACTGACAAGTTGAAGAGATAAGCAAGGGCAGACACAGTTCTCAGCCTTCCACCCCTTCTTCCCATCACTCCTCCTCATCACTGTCCCAGGAACCAATGCCCATCTCCACAGGCAACCTCCACGTCTAGACTTACATTGAGCAAAAGGCCGCTCTGTAGTCTGGTCTTTGCAAACAGAAAGCACCCACCGCAGTGGGGTTTGCACATGTGCTCACACTGAAGATTAAGCAAAGTGAGCATGTCCCTGAAGGCTCCAGGGCCAGCACCGTCACTCTGAACACAGGCGACCTGGCACGTTTCTCAGCAGCGAGCGACTCTGCCCCGTCATAATCACATTTCTCACGGGCGCCTGGGTGGTTCAGTCGTTAAGTGTCTGCCTTCCGCTCAGGTCATGATCCCAGGGTCCTGGGATCGAGCCCTGAACTGGGCTCCCTGCTCCTCGAGAAGCCTGCTTCTCCCTCTCCCACTGCTTGTGTTCCCTCTCTGTCAAAAAAATAAATAAAAATCTTTAAAAAAAAAAAAATAATCACATTTCCCGCCGTGAACCAAGAGTATCAAGCCCTCAGGAATAAATCGGGCCATCGGCTGCAATCAAATCCAAGGAAATAGCCAGAGCGAGGCTAGGAAATCATGTTAGGGAACAAAATGCAAAGTAAGCCGGTAGCTCCTTCAGAGAGAAAGGAAGACCAGCTGGAGGAGACAGAAGTGGGAGGGGAGAGGAGACCCACATACAGTGTCTTAAAAACACACACATACAGTTCATGCACCCAAGTCAGCAGCTGATTTGGGCTAAGTAGTCACAAATTATTACTGTGGGAACAAGTGGGTATTTGTTCAGGCTGGGAAAAGAGCAAGGCAAATAGAGACTAAAAAGGAAAGAAAAAGTGGCAAACATACACGGTCAGGCACTTGGGGTGAGATTTATCAAGGCCAGGCAACCAGAAGAAGTGTCATCCAAGAACAGCCTGAATAAAGCCTGGGAGAATTCACTCAAATAAGCCCCCATGTTATGACAAGCAAAGCTTTAACTCCAGCAACTGCACCCTAGACGACAAATGCACACAGCTGCAGGATCTGTCCCCAGTGCGAAGGAGCATACTTTCTGCAGAAACTTACCACTCTGCCCAGGTGAGCACGGTAGGGAAGTTTTAAGAACCTATCATTCTGGAATTAAGGCCTCTGTACAGATTGTTGTAACCCTTCCTTTCCCCAGAATGCAATCACAGGGGCACTCCTAGGCCCACAGCCAACTGAAGCCTCCTGTTACTGTAATCAAGGGAAGGATGTGCACCAACAAAACAACAGAACTCCAAATGCACGGCACACCTGACAAACAGGGTGGAACTTCTAGTTTTCCAGAGGTGCCATCTGGGGCTTTCTTCTCCATCAGGAAACCCTCAAGAAAGGGCCACCAGGGACTTAGCACAAGGATCCTGCGACCTCCCTAGACCCTCTGAGCCGCCTCCTCCACTAAGCCACTAGGTTGCCTGAGTCTCATGGAAATAAAGGAAACTTTAAATACAAGTAATAGAGTGGGCTGGGCAGGGGGAACAGCCAGGGGAGTCTTGAGATGCAACTTAATTTGGAAAGCTTGGGATAGAAATGGAACAGGTGGACCTGTTCAGGAAGAAAGGAGGGGAAAGAGCATAAGTGGGGAAGAAAGCAGTCTGGGTGGGTCCTGCTCCAACCAAAACAGAAAATAAAGCTGGGGGAAAGGGGGGGGGGCAGGCAGGAGGAAGTAGTACTGGGAACGCAATGCATGGCCTTACAATCCAGGTACTGCAAAGTAGCGGGATTTAAAAGCCAACGAAAGACAGCAAATCTTTGCGGAGTGAAGGAGCAGGGAAAAGCCCAGCATCAGACTGGGGATTTAGGGATGCGGGTTCAGAGTGCGAAGGGGAGGCTAGGAAGAGATTCTATGAGGGGGCACAAAGGATTATTCCAGCTGGGGGTTCATGGCCCCAGGCTGGAAAGTGGAGTAGCCTTCATTCGCGATGACAAGGTAGCAGGGGGGCGAGTTTTAGGCAGTTATCTCGGAAGAGAGGCGTGTGTGTGCTGGCCGTAGGAGAGGAGAAGGGGTGACCCCTGGCTAAAGGCTGTCGCGGTAAGACGAGAGACTCAGGACCCTGGGTCGGAGGAGGGAGCTCCCGCTAGTCTGGGAATGCCCAGCCTGCGCTCGCGGGCAGAAGGCAACCCCGCCAAAGGGCCCGGGGCCCCAGGCCTTAACTCTTCAGGCAGGAGGGTCCCCGAGGCGGGGCTGGGCCTGCGGTGGTCCCACAGGGCCTCAGGGGCGGGGGTCCAGGACTCACGCATCAACGTGCTGAAGGCCACGACGCCGAGCAGCCCCTGCAGGAAGATGCCGAAACTGTGCATGAGCGCGCCGCTCTCGCAGCGGCCCGCCCCGGACGCGACGGTGGAGGGCGGCCCACCCGGGAGCCCGCGGCTCGCGTTCCCGGCGGGGCCCTGCATGGCGGGCCTGGCGGAGGGGGGCCAGGGGCCGCGGCCGGCCAGCCCGCCCGCCCGCCCGCCCGCCCTCGCTGCCTGCGGGGTCCCGCGCCGCCGAGCTCCGGGCCGGGAGTCCAAGCCAGGAGCCGGTACCTCCGCCCCGCGGCCCACTCGCCGCCGCGCGTAACCCGACGTCTGAGACCGCAGCGCCTGATTGGCTCGGCCGGGCGTGGGGGCGGGCCTCGGCCGCTCCAGCTCCCCCCTCCCGCATGGGCGGGACTCGGGCCGGGCGTGGGGGCGGGGTCGTGCGTCCAGGCCACAGGTAAAGCGGAGCAGGTGAGCGCGGCTGTACGGGTGGGAGTGAGCCCAAGGATCCCGAGCTCCAGGTCGGGAAGGCAGGAGCCGGGACCATCTGCGACTAAATTCTTTTCCTTTCCAAGATGAAGCCCTCATACCCTGCAAGATTTATTAAAATACTCCTGGATTCCACCCTCAGATTTTGATTCAGTAGTTCTGAGACAGGGCGGAATAACGTGCATTTTCAGCTAGCAGCCTAGATTATTCTGAAGGAGGCCGTGAGGAAAACAATCCAAGACTGCACACAAGCATATTCCTTCCAATCCAGACGTTTGGCGTCCTTCTACTTTCCTTGTTAGTACGAATATTGTGACCAAAAGCTTTTCCTCGATTCGTCAGTCAGGCCCGAGTCGACATTTTTCTTCCTAAACATTATGGAGATGGCCATTTTAATCCAATCGCTGTCGTTTAGAAATACACAAGATTTATACCGAAAACATGTGCACATGTCCCCATCTTGTCCGTCTTGAACGTGCTTCATAAAGCCAAATTGTTGGTAACTGCCAGAACCTCTAAGGTCCGCCTCCACACATGCATGTTTACTCCCACCCTAACCCTTTGACTCCTTGGAACCCGCTCCCTACCTCTACCAGGACCTCTAGCCCCTATTTTCCCATCTGCCTTCCCAGCCCCTCTGGCTTTTCTCCAGACACTTCTTGTTGGTGCTCTCCAGTCCCTAGCCTTCCTGCTGTATCCACTTAGTGACCATGTACACATGGTATTACTCCATGTAGGCACTGGGCTACATTTGTGGAACAAGAAAAACTATATTTAGGGAAATTTTCCCTAAAAGATAGCCACCTCATTGCTCGCTTTGGCAGCACATATACTAAAAGATAGCCACCTCAGATTTCCAATGGGCTAAATGCTTACAAAAGCTTTCTTGGTTGACAGGAATATTAACCTGATTATGCAGAGAACACAAATGCTATTGGCTCCTTAGAGCCTGCTCTTACAATGCACTTCACACCTCCTGTGTCTAAAATGGCATTCTAGGGCGCCTGGGTGGCTCAGTCGGTTAAGCGACTGCCTTCGGCTCAGGTCATGGTCCTGGAGTCCCGGGATCGAGTCCCACATCGGGCTCCCTGCTCGGCGGGGAGTCTGCTGCTCCCTCTGACCCTCTTCCCTCTCGTGCTCTCTCTCTTTCTCTCTCTCTCAAATAAAAATCGTTTAAAAAAAATAAAAAAATAAAATGGCATTCTAGCTGCATGTACCACTGTTTCCTCTTCCCTGCTGAATGAACTGCTATTCGAGCTTGAGGCCCGCCTGACCTCCCTCTCCCCAGCGGGCTTCCACATGACCTTGTTAATACTGCTCCACTAAAACTTTTCCGACTGCTCCATTAGGTGGCTGTACACGTCTCTCTCTCACAGCTGAGTGTGAGCCTTCTGAGGGTGGGAACTGGTTTTTATTCACCCTTGAATCCAACATAGTGCCTGGCACAGAGAACATGGCAACACTTTTTTAAATTAAACTGAATTTTAATTTATAAAATTTAAAACTCTCCACAAGTATTGACCATGGGAAAATACAGAAAATCAGGTTAAGAAAATAAATAGGTCAGGGAATATTGTGTTACTGTCTTTAAATCTAAGAAGGTCTCTTATGGGGATGCTCAACAGTTACAGTCCATGTTCGGAGGGAAACAAATGAGAGGATGTGTACTTAAAGCAGAAGAGATTGTGGGCTGGGCGTAAGGAGACTGTTAATTGCTTGAAGATATAGGCAGCTTAAGGAAAGTTGCACATAGAGCTGAAGAATGAAGTTTTTGACAAAGCACTGCTCTGCACATCCATGTGGAGGGATCCTTAAGGCCCGTTGCTGCTGTACCAAAGCAAATGTAGACAAACAAGAAGCATTCTTCTGAGATCATGGGCAGATTCCCCAATGCCAGGAGCAAGGTCGCTGTGGGGAAATTCTGCTCTTCCTACCTTTCCTGAACTGCAATTTAAAAGTACCCAAATCCAGAGGGTAAAGATCGGACAACAGGAGAGGGGAGAGAATTCTGGAAAGGTACATTTTATTGAAGAAGGAAGGAACTTTCTCCTCCTTTCAGAGATGATTCTGAGGCCCCACTGGAAAGAGTTTTGAAGGATTTACTCAGGCCAAGATGTCTTCTTTGCTGTCAAATGAAGTTAAACATAGCTTAAGACCTGTTTTAATTCTCTTACAACCACTTAAAACTGTCATAATATACCACAAGTTCTTATACACTCTTATTTACAAAAAAACCCCACGCAAAATATTCATCCAAAATAGTTATTTTTTAATCCCTTGAAGTTACACCCATCAAACTTGATGGGAGTTATTTTAATAGGTATTCTTGTGCATATTTCTCCTTAATTATACTTTATCCTCAATGCATAACTTTTAAAATTGAGTAAAACAGCAAGCAGGAAGGATACAATGCAATATGCATTTCATTTTGTTCCAAACAAGCAGCTTAAAAAAAAGGATAGCATAAACAAAGTGCATCGGTTCCAACAATTTAGTATCAGAAAGAGGCCCAAGGACAGTGCTGGAACCAGCCAGAAGTCCCACCCTAGCAGGCCTCTGATTGTCTTTAGAGAATATTCAACCAAAAAAAGGATGAAAGGAAGAGGAAAAGAAATGAGCACTTTAAAATCTCAAAAGAAGCATTTCAACTACACTTCCCTAGAGCCTTCTTGCAAAAGGACATAAGGAACTGTCAGTTTTAACTTTGTCTAACCTTTGTACAGGCCCTTCAGTCATCTGCTTTGTGACTTGATTTACCCCCAAAGCCTACCCTCATCCTTCCAGCACTATTTGCCCACCTCCATTCTGCCAAGTTAGGCATGCAGTTAGGTTAACTAAACCACGTAGAAACCCCTCAGGACTGAGTTTCCACACATCCTGAGAACAGGCACCCCCATCAGCAATGGTGGCATCATCTCACTAGGCAGTATCATCCTTTGTCCCCAAAAATAGATCAGGGTCCACACTTGACTGCTGGTGTTGAGGACTTGTCCACCAAGGCTGTAGGGTGTTTCTCTTTTAAAAAAGTCCTCTGTGATAGGCCATAGCACCAGGACAAACCCAAATGGTGTGGTAAGTCAGAAAAGACCTAAGGGGAGGGAGTTTTAGGCCTGTTTCTCCATTCCCCCTCTTCTGGTTTTGCTGGTTCTTGTGAAAAATCTAAGAGTTCTGAAACACCAAAAGCAAGAAAACCTCCAGTGCATTTACTGCCCACCACCTTCTATACCTTCACCCTGCAGGCTGCCCTCAGAAACAAGGCTACCCTGTGGTCTGGGGCAAGTATGAGGAAACCCCAAGTGAGAAGGTTTAGAACCAGATCCGTGGATTGGGCTTTGAGTCTAGAACTCTTCTGCAAAAACTCCAAGTCCATAGGTGGCTTGCTTGGACAGATTCAAATTTCCAAAGTATGTACATTCTCACACAAGGAGTGAGAATCATCAAAATTCACTAATAGAACGTTGTAAAGTGAATCAAGTCATGGAAGAGTTACAACTGCATGAAAGGGACTGACTTCTTTTTGGCTTCGCAGGGGACTTTGTTCTACAGAGTTTCTGAGATAGTGTCATGACCGTGACACATGTTATTTACAGTGGACCCAGGACCAAAGACATTCACATTTTAAAAGGGGGTCCCTGGTTCCCACCAAGACTTATACTTCACTTGTTAGTGATGTCTTCTCCTTCATCTTCCTAAGGCCAAATGATAACACAGAACACTTCTGAACTCTCACACACACACCCCATCCCTAGTATACAGGATCAGTGCCCAAACCCAGGACGTGTTTCCGCTGTTGAGACTAAGCTCCTAACATCTCTCTCAGAGCTTCTGTGGGCATCAATCAAACCAGTGAACGGGGTCTTCAGTATAAGTCTTTGGTGATAGGTGTCAAGTAAATATAAGTGTGTGTGAGTTTTCCCAAAGTTCCCATCTAGATAATTCTTACCTACTGTTAACAATTTCCTAATGTTCTGTGTGTCCCCCAGAAATGCTTTTTGGCCTGCCAGAGGGGAATGGTTCTGAGTCCTGCCCTAGCTGAGGCCTCCTAAGGTTTTAATCTGTATTCAGGTACCACATTAGTGACAGAATTAATAAAAGAGAGTGAGTAAAATATATTCAAGTCCTCAGGAAGCTTTGGTCCAAGGCCTTCTCTCTCACAGTGAGAATAATTTTACTTCCAGGAGAAGAGGCATATAAACGCCAAGCTCCGAGCTGGTCTTCCATGTCTGCCTCTATCATAATTCAATAAATATTTACCAAGAAGCCCATCTCTTCCGGGGTTGCTAAGTATCCTTCCCTGACCTCATGCATCTACAACATACATGCTGGGAGTCACCTACTTCGCCAAAGAAAGGCAGATATAGGTAAAGCCCCAGTAATGCATCCCCTGTATTAGATACCTCAACTCTCCAACTGAGAAGGATGAGGGCAGTTTACAAACGAAAATAGCATAGTTTCCAGAAGCCCACAAAATACAGTCAAAATGTCACAGCAAATCTTCATGTACAATAAAAGGTTTCCCTAACATACTAACATAGGCTAAGAGTGGTCAGTCAACTTCAAGGTCCAGGAGGCTTATATAGTCCATTCACCTGTTTCCAAGTTTGTCAATTCAGGATCAAAAAATGGATCATGGAAAACTTTCTGACTTCAGGTGGCTGTGGGGCCAGCTGAAGGTGAAATTCAGACAAATGCAGCCCCTCACAATGTATCTCTCTTAAGAGGGTAACAACCTTTAAAAAACAAAGTTCATGTATCCATGTGTAATATATAAACATTTTACCCCAACATGGTGA